TCCTACTGCGATGCTACGGCGACCATGGCGACCTCAGGGCGATCCCACGGCGTCCTGAGCCAGGACGGGCTCAGGACGCCGAACCTCGGCGTTTACTTTGAACAAGTCCAAAGTAAACGCCGTCGCTCTGCGACCTTCGGCGTCCTTGGGGTCCCCACGGCGTCTTGATGCGTTCTCACCACGACCCTACGGCGTCCATGGCGTCCCTTCCACGTCCTGGGTCGCCAGTCCGGTGTGACGGCTGTATAACTCAGGTGACCGCTAAGGCCCTTGGGCCTCTTGTTATTAAAGTCGTTCTAGGCAGTATGGCATTTCATACACCCTTTGGAAGAGACATTCCTTGCCTTTCATAAAATAATACCAAAATGGGCAAACAAGTCCGTCTTTAAAGAGATTGAATGGCCGAATGCATATATATGTGCCCCGCTACAAGTGGCGATTTTGGTTGGAGCTCCTGTGACGTGGAACAGAAAGTGGAGGTCTGTAGGCTCTGGTTAAGGATTACATAATGGAACTGCTCACGATAGATTAGTCTATAAAATACATTAGTTGTCAAAAGGAAAACGCAGAAGTTGGGAATGTCGTGTAAACAAATTTAAGTTAAAAGTCGAAACCGGTCGGTTATTCTCGTCCAGTTACACCTTTACAAGATCGACTTTAGACGCTGCTTTATATCATATGTATCACAGGCGCCTATGTTTTAACTTTATATAATTATGTACAGTGCTAGTGAATTTACTTATTTTAAGGTGTGATAATGACTTTTAGTGTCTCATAAGCCAGATTTTGCTTGATGTCGATAACTGATCGATTTAAATTTTGAAATAGCTTTTACTTTTTGTACAATCTGCTGTAGTTTTAATATGTGACACTTAAATAAAACAAATTGTAATGTATTGTAATACTATGTAAAGTTAGGACATTTAATCTGATATTCTCTATTATTATGATGAAGACTATTATAGATGAAGAGCAAACAATTTTATAAATAAATAAAATTTTACACCAAAAATCAATCCTATGTATACGTTCATATTCACATGGTAAGACACTTTATAGTACAGACTATAGTTTACCTGTAATTAAATCCTATTGTTCTCTAACTGACACAAAATCTCACCTAGCATACACCCAACACCTTACCTGTATATAGGAAAATACCAAAGGTATGCTACGTGAGACGACACCCATAGCACTTGCTCAATGGGTTCGAAATCAGACATGAATAATTACAGACCAATTACCATTCCTTATAATTACTACGTATTTCGAAAATTATACAAAAACGTAAATCAATACACCTACGAAACTATCGAAACACTATAGACTGTCCTCTCACAGTTTAAATATTGAGGTCGGGAGGCGGAATAATATAAACCGTCATAATCGACTGTGTACTAGATGTAATTTAGGCGACATTGAAGATGAGTTTCATTTTATTCTCAAGTGTCCATTTTATGAAAATCTAAGGTTAAAGTACATAAAGAAATATTATCGTTTAAGTCCGAGTGTGTTTAAGCTAACTCAACTATTAAGTACCAATAATGTAAAGGAACTTTTAAATCTTGGAAAATATTTACATTTGGAACAAGTGTACGTAAAGAGTCACTCTCCTCTTAACATATGTCCATATGTAATTATTCTGTATTGTATTGCATAACATGTTGTACTTATCTTGTAATATATGTATTATACCCATGAGTCAGTTGACTCGAGGTTAATAAAATAATCTAAAAATAATCAAGATTATAGATCTATTTTGGTTTTCCATCTAGATTTAGACAAAAAACATGTTTGACAAACGGTGTTGATTGATAGCTGGGTACGTTACTCTTATTGACTCAGGAAATGTTTCGATTTTCTGGAAAATTTCGATACGGTAGATTTTTAACATTTTATTACAGATATGTGAAAAATACCACTTTCCATATGCATTCACTGCATGACTCTGGTCTCATTCAGATCTTTATTCTAGATTTTAGAAAGTCTCTATAAATGGGAACTTCAAAGAGTTCAGCTGTAAAATGCGGAGTTCTTTCAGGAACAATTTTTGGTCCGCTTTTATTTCTCATGTCGATTTAGTCATTTACACCGTACCCTAGACAACAGCAGAACACATCTTTTTGCTGATGAATACTATAATATCCTTTCATTCAAAGTCAGTTTTGAGACTGACAATTCATTAAGCTTAACATCCTATCAATTGCTAAGGTCATTTAAGCAATACAAACACGATTGGTGCATTTCAAACAAGATGAGAACAGTTATAAGTAAAGCCAGGTCTTAAGGTTCGAGTCCGTAAAAAATCATAAGATTTCTGAGACGTCCTTGTTTAGGTTTTGGAGAATTCCTTCCTTTAAACAAACAACAATTAAGGTAAGTATCTCTAGTATATTGGAATGTTTACAACTTTTACAATACGCAATTCGGATATTTTCCAGAGTAGCTATGATGATCAGTCCGGCCGTAAAATTAATGCTGATTAGAGCGATATGCGATTGATCGCAATCCGATTAAAATCATATCCTACGTTCTCTACGTATCACGTGATACGTAGAGAACTTAGGATATGATTTTAATCAGATTGGATTGATCGTTACAGATAATTTTAAGCGTCTGTTTATTTTGACATAATTCCAACGCTTCTTTGTTTTAACCTCACTGTTGTAACCCGATTTCTCTCGTTCCCTTCATCTGACCGCTGTCTCATATTAAATGAACACAACATTAACATAACTATTTTTAGCGCTGATCGGTTTTGTGCACAGGGCAGGGGAGGTTACTGGTGCCGAAAACAATTCCGTTAACCCCACGCGTAGCCGGGTCTGCGTTGAATTGACAAAACCACCACCCTCCCCTTCCTCATTTGTTATACTAATTTGATTATCATGTATGGATGTAGTTTGGTTTATTTTTTGTTATGTAGTAGATGGGCGTATTTTTATCCCCATATTTGTAGTCCTGGGTATACAAACGTAGCACATCCTTCGACCGATGCAGCGCTAAATATTATCAGCGAAATATTTTTCGCGATGATAAAGCAAAAAAACCAAAAACGATATTGATAATATGCAACTCATTCCCGTTTTAGGTCTCGTTAGTATCAAGCGTAAACATTTCAGTGAAGTAACACTCTTTGTGAGATCTCTAGAGAGTATTGTGAACTATATACACATGTCATACGTTAGGATATCAAAACAGTCTCTTATAAATAATTAACACTAGTCAATCGGTAAGTATACAGAGGGGTCGTTTTTATTGCAGGACAACCATTTGTTTATCCTGTGATCGTGTTTGAACTAACTTTAGTGTTCAATATCAGTTGGGCATCAGTGAGCACATGAAACAGATATATCCTATTCAACAGAAGGCCGCATTAAAAGCAATATTAGCAAAGCTATCGAAAGCGAATATGAGGCCAGGTGCCGAAACACAAGACTACTTTACATGTAAATAAAACTCTAACTAGTTTTATACAGCAATGAAAGCAGAGAAGTATAATGCACAACACAAACTTGCAGGTAATATTCAAATACTGTGAATGTGCAAGGGCCACTCCCAACGCACTAACATTAATCAGTTTTTATTTGCTAACCACATACTTTTTGAGCTTAGTTTCAATATTTATCTGGGGTTTTTTTTCTACATAACCCTTAATTTTCACATTCTTCCTGCACTGACCTCATGATCATCGGTCTGCTCCTGAATGGAATCATGGAAATCACCCGTTTCTTTTTTCGTTCCAGCTTTCTTTGTGAAGAAACATTCTTGTGAAGTTTCGGAATCAAATTCAAAGGAAGCAGGTCCGTACCTCAATCATTAATAGGTATTGAATAGATCGTTCACCAGTCGTATGTCCTTGGATATCAAACAAAGATAATCAGTGTTTGCGAACAACGATTAAGATAATAGACGTCTGAAGACTACCACATTCTTATACAGATCGTTGATTGGAATTTTTACGTCGGGGTGAAGAAATACAGATTTGCGTTTTTTTTTTTTTTTTCATTTTGGATTTCAAGCTGTTTTTTTTAATGATGGACCTGAAAGTTTTAACCAACTCCGAAAGTGAGTCCAACTCATCATGCTCTCCGTTTGCCCATGGTCTTGTTGAGTCCATGAAACTTATACGTGTTAAATTCAAATTTCAATCGCTGAAAGGAGTCTTTAGATACTTCAGACCCTCCAATGATAGCTGTCGTGGATCCTATTTAGATTGTCAGTAAGTACGCGTCCGGCTATAGGCCATAGTTGTGTGGAGATGTATACCAATAACGTTGAGGTAGGAGTTATTCAAAAGCTATATAAATTCAACTGTTGTAGCGTTTGCTTGTAGTTGAAAAGCTTTGAAGCAACGGATGTGGAATCACTGAAGAGTTGATAGGGATACTTTTGTTCTTCGACGGATTAATAAAGTAGGATATCATTGATGTCATCTATCCCTTTGTTCTTCCAAAGGGTAAAAAAGTCGAATTTGCACAAATTGACTTATCAGTATAAATGGTACACCACGTGCACACGTCACTGATAGCATGTTATCAAATTACCGATTGAAGCCGAGTAATGATTTCCCACTACACAATTAATCGATTTTAATAGTCTAGTTCGTTATTTGCTTTTAATAATTAATTGATGTCCCAAAGCGAACAACAGTTAAAAGCGGCAAAACTCGCGTGTAATAATTAATATCACGAAGGAACCATACATGTACGTTACAGCTACTTCCAGTTGGTCACGAGAACTTTACTGTGAGTATTGTATACTTTATGTTAGTTTCATCCTTATTTCTTAAACTTTGAAAGAGTTCAGCATAAATTCAATTTATGACTAATTACGCTATTTGTTTCGTTAGTTGTTTAACGAAACAAAGGATATTTCCAATTATTAAGATTTTAAAGGGCAAACTGTTGCCCACGGTCATCTTAATTTGACGTAGAGTCAAACTGAATATTTATATATACACAGATTAAATGTACTTAGTATAAAAAATAACTAAACGTACAGAATGCTATTTTTCAAATGACATAGCTTCCTCTTCATATAAATCGACATACAAATTAGTGCCACTGCGTGTTGATGTCTTTCGGCCTCTGTACCTTTGGCACCTGCGCACTTCCATCCGAGCCAACAAGAGTGTCATTTTTTCTTAAATGAATAAAGTATATTCAATATTAATGTTATGATCGCCCTAACGTCAGAAAATATTTGCGACAGTTTTCTTATACCGAACTTCTGATTATTTATAATATATTATATATATCTCGGTTTGAAATAAAGGTTGCTTCCTTTTTAACCTATATCATGATTTCCTTGCAAAGTCCTTGGATCAAACTATCTCACTAGTGTTCCCGATATCTATATTTTTCTTCGGTTTTTTTTTCGGATTTTTTTCATCATATAATTAAATGTTTAAAATTATAAGTACAGAACTAAGAGTGTGATGTTGGTTTTTGTTGCAGGAATAGCAACCGTTATGGCAATAACGAACAGCATATTAGCGTTCTTGTGTTATTGTTTGTGTGATGGTGAGTAAAAGTTTTCATCTAATTTTTTCCTCTTCATTGAGTGTGCATTTGGATTTTTTTGGTTTACGAAATGATATCAAGCTAAATGCAACATGCTTTAGAAATAGGCCAATTCGTTTTAGTAATATTGTTTTAAATATTACTTAATTGTGTTATGACAGCTCGTCCTTATAGAACAGAAAATATAGGATACAAAACGAGCTTCTCCCTTTTCTACATAAACAACTTGTTGAAATAAAAAACAATTGAAACAAATTTAAGGTACCGTGAAATCGGCGACGCCGTCATCTTAAAGTGTATACTGCCATGCCTGTCCCAATACAAAAATGTTAGCCGATCCTGACGAATGAACATTTCACCTACGTCTATCTTGTTTGTACTACGGAATCAAACAGATAAGTATTTCAAATTGTCATGCCTTATCAGGCAACAGTCAAAACCGTTTTCCCAAGGAGTTGCATGGAACCCACCAGATGAACTGTTTCCGAGGCCAGGGGAACTGTTTCCGAGGCCAGATAAACTGTTTCCGAGGCCAGAGGAACTGTTTACGAGGCCAGAGGAACTGTTTCCGTGGTCAGAGGAACTGTTTCCGAGGCCAGATAAACTGTTTACGAGGCCAGAGGAACTGTTTCCGTGGTCAGAGGAACTGTTTCCGAGGCCAGATAAACTGTTTACGAGGCCAGAGGAACTGTTTCCGAGGAAAGAGGAACTGTTTCCGAGGCCAGATAAACTGTTTCCGAGGCCAGAGGAACTGTTTCCGAGGCCAGAGGAACTGTTTTCTAGGCCAGATAAACTGTTTCCGAGGCCAGAGGAACTGTTTACGAGGCCAGAGGAACTGTTTCCGAGGCCAGAGGAACTGTTTCCGAGGCCAGATAAACTGTTTCCGAGGCCAGAGGAACTGTTTTCTAGGCCAGAGGAAACCGTTCTTCTGCTGAGTGTTTCGTTACGTGACCAACATGACCAATGAAAAACATGTAATTAATTCATTCACACTTCATACCGACCCATTGGTAATGTTTTTAGAGCAAATTGAGTTGCTGTTTTCATTTACTACAACACTGGTTCGTTGTTCATATCTTCAAGTAGGCCTATTGATTGTGGAGGCAGAAGCATATCCTTTATTCTCCACCACAGTCATCATATCAGGATGTTTGAAAGCTAGGTGTGTTCGATTACATTGCATGTAACTAGTCAAACAGTGGCAGTTCATCACGTGACCAGACACGGGTCGTACGGTAACAAACACTAGTGTATCACGTGACTGGTCAAACAGGCAAAAGTAGCAAAAATTAACGTGTTCAGAAATTAATATGAGGATCAGTCAGCACTGCTTGAACAATTCATATTATGAAAATAATGTTATAAAACGTGTTTGTTTTCTACAGTTGGCTCGCACGATATAGCAACAATAGCGTTCCCCGAGAACACCTACAAAAATGTCAAGCTTTATATCAACGTGGTGAATCCTTTAGATACAGGAGTATTTGTGAATATATCTGCTCGCCGTATCTTGACATTCCCAACAAGACAAGAACTGGTCCCTCCGAAAGATGTCATCGTCATAGAAATAGATACAGCAGATTTCGAGATAACGGGAACAGGCAAAAATGGGAAAGGTATTCTCATCCAGTCAAATGTTAACGAGCTTATTATCATAGGATTGTCAACTACGCAACACAGCAACGATATATTCCTTGCTAGAAATTATACACAAATTGGTACTGAGTATATTATCATTACATACTGTACTCTAACATTTCTTTGCCAGTTCACTGTTATTGCTAGAGAGGATAATACTGTTCTTGAAATAACGTTCCCTGGATATTTTAATGCTTTGGTTAAATTTGACGGAACCTATTATGGCCCAGGTGACGTAATGACGTTAATTTTACACGAATTACAGACTTTCCAAATCCAGTCAACGTCTGATCTGAGTGGAGTGAAGATTATATCGATAAACAAAAAAAGCTTTTCTGTTATTTCTGGTAGCTCGTATACATCAATTCAAAATGGCGGTTTGCGCGATTACATGGCGGATATGGTACCTCCTATAGCTACGTGGGGGAGCGAGTACGTACTCGTTCGACGGAATCTACCGCAGTTTTTACGTGACTATGTCAAATTCGTTGCTGCAGCTAGTGGCGCAAACATTTCAAGCATTGGATGTGGACCTGTTCTTTACCATCTGATCCAGGAATTTCAAACCTACTTATTTAGCATGACGTGTGAACGAGTTTACGTCATATCGGATGAACCGGTACTCATAGCTCACTTTCCTGTTGGTGTTGGCCATGGTGATCCAGCGATGCTCTTCCCTACTCCCGTCTACCACTATGTCAGTAAATATACGGTTTATATCCCACCAGGATTCCGTAGCTGTTCCATAGCACTCGTAATGGAGACTATGCAAGTCAATACATTCAGTTTTACCAGGTTTTCGGCCTCCTTTACCCCATGGGAGGTTATCGAACAGTCAGTGTATTCGACATCCTGGGTAAAGAACGTGAATTCTGGTGTTGTGGAAATAACACATACGTCACCATTCGGGGGTCACATGATATGCGAAAGAGATAGTACTATTATAACTTCATCAATCGGACTTGGAAACGTGACCGTTAAAGAACCGCAGGTAAGAAAATTTGACAAATTTGACCTAAAAATATTGTGAGCATGAGCACGGGTTCCAGCACATGATCAGTGTACAATGTACACATGCGTATCTAGCTTTGATATCATTAACCTTATAAGTAAGTTTAGAATATTCCCAAAATATCAATCCAGAAAATTTCAGAAAATATAGATACAACATGTATATAATTTAATCTTGCTTGTAACAAGCATTTCCATTGGCTTAAAATTTATGTTATCAGCCCATAACGTAAAAAAGTGACGTCGCCGTTTGTAACGTCGCTTTTGATTGGCCGATACAGCGGGCGTAATAATTTCTGAGAGAAAAGAGTCCATCATTAAAAGTGGATTTCCACAGGGATAATGTATAATAGATTAAATTATAAGGATTGACTTGAGTATAATTTATTTTGTTATGGAGCTATAACACAAAAAAACGAGTGTACTCTCTTCGCGGTTTATTTAGAGTACACTCCGGTTTTTTGTGTTATATTTCCATGAAAAAATTCAAGTTAATCCTTAAATACTTTTCTAAAACTGTGATATAATGTATATTTCTATAAATGTCAATTTAATGTAATGTCACATCCATTTTTGACGAATGTAATTGGTCATCTGGACATGGGTCCCTAATTTGTGTGAAACCACACTTTGTCCAAACCTTACCACTGTTTTCATTTCTTCCCATTAGTACTATTTTTCCTTTTCTATATGTACCTTACTTTTACTTTTGTCTCGTGATGAGATAACTATTTTCCAGATTTTGTTTTGTATTTGTCTTCATGCAATCCAGATGATTTGGATGTTTTCCGTATTAAAGCCAAGCCAAAATACAAATGTAACTTAAATTGTTTACACAATGACTACAGAAACAATGTTAACAGTTGTAATCAACCTAATCATCATTCTGCTACATCCCGAGAGGTAGTGTTACTCTCTGGGGCACTATCTGTGATGGTCAAAACAGAAAATGTTAGCATCTTCAGTAGCCTATGGATCATCAGCCCATTACTTACACACAACTGCATCTGCAGAGTTCAAGTCATTATGTACCAAGATAGTTTGTACTGTCTGTACTCGTTCTTCTATAACACTTATAATCAAGGTCCCGGTAGCAATTTTCTGACCATTTGCTATTGAATTAGCGAGATAATCTGTACGTGATTCTAACAAAGAGGGTCACATTTTGGTCGGAATTATGTCCCAAGAATTTTCGATATGCGAATTCCAGGACATCTGACGACTCTGGTGACGCAATAAAGCAAAGTAATCAGAAACGGGAAAAATAAAAGAAATACACGCCGTGACTTTGACAATGCGATATACGGCTAACTTTGGTGATGACAAAAATGGATTCAATAAAACTGTTAATGAAGGGGAAAATATCCAATGTGAAAAACAATTGAACAGTAAGATGAAGTTTTTAATTTTTACCTTCATTCTCACCAGTCCAAAACAACAGATGATATACACATTGATGATCATCAAGTGACATACTCGCCATCTGTGTACTGTGACATATNTCTCAATGTCGTTGTTGAGGTTTACAATATGGTCTTCTGATACCTGACGATGTCTTTTCCTAAATAGGCACTTTGCATTTTTATAGAGCCTAAAGGTATTGGAGAGGGGGTCCCGAGGTCGTCCTTGAGAGATCCATTCCAGACGCAACCGCCACATATTACGATGGAGTTCCTTTAGATGATTATTCCAGTACGGTTTAAGGAATCTACAGAATTTACGCTTCGGTAACACACGTTCTGAAGTCCGCTGAATGCAATTCACAAGCTCGTTGGTGTAATTCTCAACATCGTCCTCAGAACAAAGCTCTTGCATGTTCACTAACGACGAGTTACTGATGCATTCATCCAGGCTATCGCGATAAACATCAACATTCTTAGAATCTCCAGAAGTAATCCACTTATAAGAGACTCGCGTCAGAGTATTACAACACGTTTCCCTAGGAACAGGAAGAGGAATGTGTAGCTCGCATAACAAAGGCCTGTGGTTCGAAACATCAAGGAAGTCACGATCTAGTACAGCGCATTCGTGATCAGCCAGTAAACAGTTATATAGAAACACATATATATATTATAGATCAGCCAGTGAACAGTTATATAGATACATATATACATTATAGATCAGTGAACAGTTATAAAGATACATATATATATTATAGATCAGTGAACAGTTATATAGATACATATATGTATAATAGATCAGCCAGTGAACAGTTATATAGATACATATAAAGATATTATAGATCAGTGAACAATTATATAGATATATATATATATATTATAGATCAGTGAGCAGTTATATAGATACAGATAGAGACATATATATATATATAATAGATCAGTGAACAGTTATATAGATACATATATATATATTATAGACCAGTGAACAGTTATATAGATACACAGATATATATAGTATAGATAGTGAACAGTTATATAGATACATATATATATTATAGATCAGTGAACAGTTATATAGATACATATATATATATCATAGATCAGTGAACAGTTATATAGATACATATATGTATTATAGAACAGTGAACAGTTATATAGATACATATATGTATATATATATTATAGATCAGTGAACAGTTATATAGATACATATATATATATATTATAGATCAGTGAACAGTTATATAGATACATGTATTTATTATAAATCAGTGAACAGTTATATATATATACATATATATATTATAGATCAGTGAACAGTTATATAGATACATATTTATATATATCATTTATCAGAATTTTACATAATACACAAAAAAATGTATCGAATGTCCAATTCACATATAGAAAATGCAATGTCAACATTTGCTTGACATCTGTAAACTCAACATAAATGCAATCACACACTTAAATGTGGTACCTCACCACACATAATGGGGGGGGGGGGGGGGGGGTAACATGTTGGTCGGTTCTGTAAGGCAGCAAATATAGGGATATGGGCATGTTTTTGAAAGAAAGCATGAGGTTTTCTGTGACACCGTACGATGCTGCTACACCGCTCACCACGGACGACTATCAGGATAAAGAAGATCAAATGAACAGTTACAAAGTTGTTTTTATATAATCAGACACGTGGCATGGCTGGGGAAAATACAGAATGATGTCATTATTACTTGAATCAGGAATGACAAGGTTGTTGCCGCTCACACGGTCACTCCTTCTGGTGACCCTGCAAGTCAGCGTCCTGAGCTGTTTGGCGCAAACATAATTATGAATAAACATTTTGACTCTAAAATGTCAGCATTGATGTTCTAGCTAATGTAAATAATACCTGGGCCCGTATTCAGGAATCCGTTTTCATGCTCAAGCATGGATTCTGTGCTCCATCCAACTTTTTTGTAACGCATTTAAATCATGTAGCAAGGACAAAAATATCAAATTTAAATCATGTAGCAAGGAAAAAAAAATCAAATTTAAATCATGTAGCAAGGACAAAAAAATCAAATTTAAATCATGTAGCAAGGACAAAAAAATCAAGTTTAAATTTAAAACGCAGTATTGAGCTTTACGTCTCTCCAAAATACTTCCATATCATGTGATACCTTTTATAATGTATCACGGGAACCAAAAAATGGACTTGAACACAGAATCTGAATTTGATCATGAAAACGGTTTCATGAATACGGGGCCTGGTATGGTACCAAAGGAATATCAAAGCAACTGAAAATATCAACAACATGGTCAAAACCGTTCATTGGGGTAACATGGCATCCCCAATTAACGACACAATTGGATCCAACAAAACACACTGTTATTATGCCATAAAGGAACTGTGATGGATCTTTGCAACAACTTAGGAAAGAAATAGAGAGCATTGTGGACCATTACAAAGTCCAGCATGGCAACTGCACGATTAAGTCAGATTACAATCATAAAAGTACAGTTGATAGATTCTGCAGCAGTGCTTATTTTGAGGTAATGCGGATTGTTCCATGTAGATCTACAAAACAAAATAGCCCACATGATTATGTACAAAGTGTGGATACTCATTGCATCAGTCTTTCAACAATTTCTTCTCGTTGAACCATGGCAAAAAATGTTCTATTTATTTGGGGAGAGAATATAAAAGTCGTACACAGTATTAGACTGGAATGAAAATTTTGATAGAGAGTATACATCTGTACGCTTGAGTATGCCAGAAATCCAATAAGGCAAAGTGAACTCATAAATATGAAACCAAAACACAAACATGTTTTTGACATTCTGTTGAGAACATCAATGACCGACTGTATTCTAAGAAAGTTGAAGTTTTTGAGTTGTAGGTAAATGTAGATGTTTGTGCTTAGTTACACCCTGCTGGTTGAGCACGTTTATATTATAGTAGAGTCAAGTCAATTTTATTTATTATAGTGTAATACATCACAATTACATCGTACAAGTATATAGTTACACAGTATAAAATCATATAGTTACATAACAGGGATCAATCATCTTAATGTAAAACTATATAGACCATATCATAATTTTGTGAAGAACAGCTATTATACATAAAAAAATGATAAATTAAAACAAACTATCACATGTGCCAATCCAGAGAGCAGGTGATTGGGACAGCCCCTTCATAACAGACTCCTGGATTTTGTACTGACATATTATATACTATACTAGTTAAAAGGTTTCTTTTACATTTACTGCCTTAAAACATGATGTCTTTAAAAAAAAACAATAACAATGGTGATAAATAAAATGAATAATTTCCTAGTTCTACATTGTAGTGAAATTTGGGTTGGGGAGTCCCCTACCAGCGAGGTCTGCTAACTAATAGCTAATTATAATTTAAACGGAGGATTATTTTCATAAAATGTAATTGTATATAATATTCAGCCTAAAATGGCTTACAAGACACTGTTTAAAATTAGAATTAATCACATAGACTGCTATGTCTTCTGCAAGTGGAATTTGTAATTCCTCGGAAGACATTATAAAATGAAATTTGTCAGTGTTATTAAGACTTTCAAAATCATTACTTATATTATTTGCTACATTAAATAAGGATGATCTTATATCATTATATACATTACATTCACTAGTTAGGGCCCCGTATCGGAGATACGGGTGCCCTATAGTAATCACTGTCTGTCTGTCTGTCTGTCCGTCTGTCCACAAATTTTGTTCCTGACTGATAACTTTGATATTTATCGACCGATGTACATGAAACTTGGTCAAGATGTTTAGTTCACAAAAATACACATTGAGGTAAAAAGTCAAGGTCAAAGGTCAAGGTCAAATTTTACATCTTTTCACTGATGAACATTTTGTTATGACATTATGAAGCAAAGTTGATCAAAATTAAACAAGGAGGAGTCAACTGACCAAAGGGCAAGGTCATCGGGTCAGTGGTCAAGGTCAAATTTTGTAGCTTTTCACTGGTGAACATTTCGCTATGACATTATGGAGCAAAGTTGTTCGAAATTAAATAAAGAGACACACTGAGGTAAAAAGTCGAGTTCAAAGGTCAAGGTCATTAGGTTCAAAGGTCAAGGTCAAATTTTACATGTTTTCACTGATGAACATTTTGTTATGACATTATGAAGCAAAGTTGATCAGAATTAAACAAGGAGTCAACTGACCAAAGGTCAAGGTCATCGGGTCAGTGGTCAAGGTCAAATTTTGTAGCTTTTCACTGGTGAACATTTCGCTATGACATTATGGAGCAAAGTTGTTCGAAATTAAATAAAGAGACACACTGAGGTAAAAAGTCGAGTTCAAAGGTCAAGGTCATTAGGTTCAAAGGTCAAGGTCAAATTTTACATGTTTTCACTGATGAACATTTTGTTATGACATTATGAAGCAATGTTGTTCAGAACTTAACACAGAGTCAACTGACCTTAGGTCCAGGTTACGGGTTTCAAAGGGTCAAGGTCAAGTTTTGTATTTTCACTGATGAACATTTTGTTATGATATTAAGGAGCAAAGTTGGTCGGAATTAAAGAATAAGTCAACTGACCAAAGATCAGGGTCACTGGGTTAATGGTCAAGGTCATTTGGGTCCAAAGGTCAAAGACAAAGTGGATCTCTGACTTTGACCCTGGCTCTTGATGGAGGAGATAGATCAGGTTAAATAAAACAAATCAAAGCTAACAAATACCGGTATTTACATTTCTGTTAGCCCAGCAAATATGGAGGTGGAAGGAAACAAGACTCACATCATAGTACATGTAAAATGTATATTTTGCTTCCTTGCGATTCTTTTTGAAGTCCACATATCAAACGTCAAGCTCTGCTATATGGGCAGATTGCTTCTTGATGATTAATGGGGATATATTGCCACAAGACGGGGCCCTTACTGACCTGTCAGTGTTCTAGTATATGGCGAAACCATCTTTGATAAATACAATTATGCTCAACTAGAAATATCCCCTATAAGCTTGTCCAAAATAGAGAAGAAGAAAAATATCCTCATCTTAAAAGTCTTTTCCTGAAAGGTATGATGACTATTTTACACAAAAGTCTGATCAGCGGACACAAATCTTTATTTTCATAACATATTAACGTTCGATTGTTCAATAAAAGTAACAGCCTGAAATTTGTATAATGCTTCGTTAACTCCATCTACATCTAATGTTGATGACGTCACACAATCGTGTCTTCTTCGCTGAAAATTTGCATAGCTCCACCCAAAAGTATTGTTGTCAACGTCATGGAAACTTGTCACGTTCTTTGGTCAGGGTACGAGAAAATAGCTATAGTTTGCGAGAATATTGGTTATTGAGTGAATGTCAGGGTATAATGCTTCGTTAACTCAGTCTACATCTAATGTTGATGACGTCACACAATTGGGTCTCTTTCCCTGAAAATTTGCATAGATCCGTCCACATGTAATGTTGTGGACATCATGGAAACTTGTCACGTTCTTTGGTCAGGGTACGAGAAAATATCTCCAGTTTTCCGAGAATATTGATTATTTAGTGAATATCAGTGAAGAATGTAAATATTTATACATATTCTGATAGGTAGACGTTTTTTCCTCCTTTGAAATCTAAATATATTTACTATTTTAGAATCGGATTATGCAATTAACTTTCTAAAACTGTTCTTCAGCCATGATATTGGGTGGATATACTGACAGAACAACAATCACACACTTAAATGTATGAATCCCACCTACGGAGTTATGCTTTTAATTACGCTTTATATACCTGTTGTCCATTGTTGTTTTTACTGTAAATTGCCGACTTTGACTAAAGGATGTCTCGGAGTAAGAACTTGGATATTGTTTGTTGGCGGTTCTAGACGTGCTGTGTCAGCTATATCGATTTATGAGATATTTGAAATACCAATGTTCTACAGGACTGAACAACTAATGTAGGTCCTTTTTTCAGTTCAACACAATTTATAGAATACGCCAATAAATCAAATAATTTGAGACGTATTTTTGGGTCTCCTCTTAATATAAAATCTCAAAAGAAAATGAATATGTAAGTGTTTTTTTATAGCAGATCTTTTGATATATCTATTATTTATATATCTTCAAGAAAATGATATAATTGATACGAACATATCAATGCCTATTTTTCTTTCTCTTTCTTTAGGAATACTCAACTTCAACTATGGCTGATATCTCAACAACACAAAATGTTAACGGTAAATACATTTTAGATAATAATTGGTTTCCTATTGGATATTGTTAGTTATCACGAGTGCGAAGCACCGTTTAAATTACCGGTAATCGCTTTATGAGTGAAATATATATGATGTTCATCGTAAATAAACCATTGTAAATACAGTCAACTGTTCTTGTATACATTACATTGTTCAAACAAAAATGTTAATTTACTTATTTTCACTGCATTTATTATATAGAGTTGCCATGCTGCCGTTATTATTCGATTTGACCTACTTTGTTTATACTACAAAAAACGATATATTTGAGACATACTTAATGTCGTACGACCAAATTTTGGGTTTTCGTATTAGTAGCCTTAAGATTACATTTAAATATTTATGTATATATAAGATTATTTTATCATCTTTGCATTAGTCAATTAATGACATGCTCTACTGAAATGTCATGCAACTATGCAGCATTATTGATTTTTCAAAATATTTTTGACAATCTTGCTTTTGTATTTTACTTGCCATGTTTTACCTATGAAGCACACCAACATACCCGGTCTCCCGCATACACACACGCAAGCACGCATACACTATGCACATGGAGGCAGGTCCTTAAATGACTTTAGCTGTTAATAGGACGTTAAACAAAATTAAACCAAACCAAATTACCTATCAATGCTATTGTTCGGACATTGGTATCTCCTTCGGTAAAGCATGTCTCACCAACTCCGACAGTCTTCTTGTTGCATTATTAAAACATTATATAACGTGATCGTTCTGATTCAAAATATATCTTTCAGCGATAATTGATTTTATTTTCAGAAACACTAATAGACGGGGATTCGACAAATACACGTAGAACAACTGCCACAAAAGTCGTCACTGAATCAAGTACTAGTACAGATGGCATCATCGTATCGTCAAATGTAACTAGTGACGTCACCACCAGTCAAACACAAAGAAGTGGAAGTGAATCTATGTTAAACTGTTCCTGTTGTAAATCGCCATCATATTCGGATTCAGATCTCCCTCCCCCTGAAATTTTGCTGGAGATAACCAACGAACTCAAGAAAACACTTACAGTCCCGAAGACAACTACGTCGAACTACGTTCGTAAACACACCTGTGCATGGGATACCAGAACATCCTCAGCGGGAATAGGTGTTATGGGTATTGTCATTCTCTGTGTAGTGTTAGGAAGTATCATTACATTAGACTTAGTGACTCTTTTTCAAAAGCGGCGATAATACAAAGTGTATATTTGACATTGCTCCATAATGTCAACTTGACTACACCTATACTCGGTTAGGTTATGTGGTGATAACTTGTTGCTCCAGTTGAGAACGAGTAAATTTATCATAGATGGCTTTTGTTTGGTATCTAAAAACAAATTACACCCTAGACAAACGTCTGGACGATCCTTACACCAATATGTCAGTACATAAATGTGATCAATATGTCAGTACATAAATCATACCATAAAATGTCAGTACATAAATCATACTTTAAAATGTCAGTACATAAAACATACTGTAAAATGTGATAATTTAACGATCCTTTTCCAACTGTCAGTACATAAATCATATCGTAAAATGTGATAATATGTCAGTACATAACTCATACTGTAAAATGTGATAATATGTCAGTACATAAATCATACTGTAAAATGTTATCATTAGGTCAGTACATAAATCATTCTGTAAAATGTTATCATTATGTCAGTACATAAATCATACCGTAAAATGTGATAATATGTCAGTACATAAATCATACTGTAAAATGTTATCATTATGTCAGTACATAAATCATACTGTAAGATTTGATAATATGTCAGTACTGTAAAATGTCAGTACATAAATCATACTGTAATATGTTATCATTAGGTCAGTACATAAATCATACTGTAAAATGTTATCATTAGGTCAGTACATAAATCATACTGTAAGATGTGATTATATGTCAGTATATAAATCATACTGTAAAATGTGATAATATGTCAGTACTGTAAAATGTCAGTACATAAATCATACTGTAAAATGTCAGTACATAAATCATACTGTGAAATGTCAGTACATAAATCATACTGTAAAATGTCAGTACATAAATCATACTGTAATATGTCAGTACATAAATCATACTGTAGAATTTTTTAAGGTCCCTGTCCCACTGCAAGCAAAACATTAGTTATTTTAAAATTGCTTTATCGTATCTAAAATAACGTCACTCCAAGTTTGTTTGGATATAACAATAACAAAAATATAATCCACATGGTGAAACATACATAACGAACAGCTGTGATGTTAATAGCAATGAGAAAAATGACTGTTCATTTGTTTTGGCATCAATGTTTTCATGAATTAGTTATATTACGAGTCTCCCGAACATAATAAGCAGTCAATTTTGTTGTGGAATATACTGTAATCGATCTACGGGCCTATTTCAAACAAACTAACAATATGTAAACCTATACCAAAAACTCTAACTTGTGGATGTACAACAGCAAAGTTTAAATCATATTTTATTAATATCATTAACATGTAAGCAGAACAAAGCTAGCCAGAAAACCATGTACATTACAATAGGCATGGTGGTAGTGTTACAGACCCACTTACAAACGCGCTGTACAATAAAGCTTTGTCATTGTCTCGGAGGCGATTATTTTAGAAATGAAGGTAATAAGATATGATGACATGATGTATTGTGGTGTTTCTGCGAAACCTAGATAAAAATATTTATGATGTCATTTTTAACGGAGCGTAAATAATTGATAATTGTTTTTTGCATTTATTTCTACATTTGGTATGATGAATGAAAATACAAATGTACAAGAACAAAATTCTAAACGGAGCTTCAGCTTAAATGAATGAGGGGACGTGCTCGACCAAGCCCAGTATAGCACTTTCAGCTAGGCGTTGTTCATGTTGAATGCAATCTATGAGATGTAATAGGATTGTATGAGTTTGTTTTCCTTGCCCGTTGTCCTGTTAATACATACTGTAGGAATATTGGTGTTGATATGTAACAATGTTGTATAACTGTCTAGTTAAGAACAATTTGCCTTTATTACAATTAATTGATGAATCTTGAATGGTCGAAATTGCCATATTGTGATTAAACAGGTTTACAACGTTTGACTCTCTACCTTGATTGCCATCATTTAAAAAATAAACTTTTGCCAGGAGTTTGGTTAAATCAGTTAGATCTATTGCAGATACATCATCATCAAACTAGATAGACAGGTCGTGGTTTGATACTATTTGTTTAGTTTAATCGAAGCTGTTATCAAACAAACCAACATTACAGGTTATAACATATTTGCCTCATGTGAATTAAAAAAGTGATTCATTGATTGTGAAAAACCACTGGTTTTGATGGTATCTCTGCCAAGATTTTAAAAGCTGGTACAGAATCTTTTACACCTGTCATAACATCCCTTTTTAACCATTGTGTAACTGTTTCCAATTCCCTGATGTTCTGAAAAAGGCACAGGTTTTACCAATTTTTAAGAAAAACAATTCTATGGAAAACGGGAACTTGCAAGCTTATGGACTGTCATCTATTGACTTCATCAGCAGCTACCTGAGTGGCAGAAAACAGCAGGTCAGACTGGGGCCAGAGACAAGCAAATGGACTGATGTAAAGAAGGGTTCTATTGTAGGACCTCTAATCTTTAATATTTTTATGAATGATATTTTTACCTTTGTAGACAGATGTATTTTATACAATAACGCAGATGGCAACACGCTCTCTAAGATTTGTGACAATTATTTATATTTGAAAGATTGTTTAGAAAAAGAGACCAAAGTTCTTATAGACTGGTCTGATTTTAATGGTATGAAGGCCAATCCAGAGAAATTCCAGGCAATATGTTTTGGCAAAAAGACCAATAACTCTATCAAATCTTTTAATATTGAAAGCCTTGAGATTATTTGTGAAGACAGTGTGAAACTTTTAGGTGTGCATATTGACTTTCTTCTTAAATTTGATGTACATGTATCTCGCCTTTGTAGAAATGCTGCTTAACAACTTGCTGTTGTAAAAAGACTGGGAAACAATCTTACAAAGAAAGGAAAAAATACCATTTTTAAGTCTTTTATTTTATTTTATTTTTTTGTACATTGACAAATACCAGGAAAATGGAAAAAGTTCAGGAACGAGTACTTTGTTTTATTGAAAATGATTATGTTTCCCCAGTCATTGATATTCTAAGAAAACACAAACTTGATATGTTTCATGTAAAACGTATGAAAGATATGGTCTCTGAGGTTTTTAAAATTTTAAATGATATTTCTCCATCAATTTTACAAAATCTTGTTGAGAGTAAAAAAGTTTTTTACAATCTGAGACAAGATAACCTGGTAAAGATCCCAAAGGTGAACACCTCGACATATGGTAAGAGATCTTTCCGTTTTGCTGCTTCCCATGTGGAACAGCCTACCAAATGAACTTCGATTAGCTGAAAACTGTAAGTCATATCGTAGGCTGCTTCGCACCTGGGACAATAAGGTATGCTCATGTGCTATCTGCACACACCATATAGTGTGAGTTGTCCCCCTTTTGAATCTACCTACATATACTCCACTACAACTCATTAGCTTCACTGTTTCTTTTGTTATTTAATTTAATATACTTCAGTACTATACTAATTATACATTTGATACTTTTTAGACTTGAGCTCCATTATTTAAAAGATCATTACTTTTGACAATATCATAATTATAACTCTCTGTTTCAATCTATGACTACATTGCCTCTTTCTAATTCACACTATATTAGTGTATATCCTGTATTTTTGTTTTTACACTTTGCTACATTAGCATATATGTACATTACACTATGATTGTGTCTTAACTTGTCTTTGGTAACACTTGTGTGACATTCAAGTTTTCACTATTAAATTATTTCTTTTAAAATTTAAAATAATTTGAATTGTTGTCCTGTTTTTATATTTATGCATAAGTACTGTGATCATTGTTAAATTTTATATATGTTTTGTCGCAAGAATAGCACTACAGTGCTAATGTATATTATGTTACATGTATATGCGACGTTAAATAAAGCTTTTTGACTCTTGACTCTTGAGGTACATTCATTTACAATGTGCTCAATGCGATGGCATTGAACTCCTGAGTAGTCGGAAGGTGTGTAAACGTTAAAACATATTCTATCTTTTTAGTCAAGTCAAAGCCAGATGCCAGAGTATTGACAACCAAACAGCAAGACATACTAATGTGCATAATTACAGTTGTGTGGCCGCACAACGCACCAAAAATAGCGTGCGAACACTGTGTATACATCGTTCACACACCGTCCGCACATCGTCCACACATGGTGCGCAAAATTGTGCGCTTCTCTCCGCACAACTGTGCGATTAGGTACAATTTGTTGATCAATATTACGAAATTAAATAAATACGGAAGGCTCGTATGCAATAATGTACATGTACACTGTATATATTACTGAGATTTCTCATCACAATAATTAAAGAGTATATACACATTTACAATGCGTGTTACACAGTATACAGTGACCGCTAGACTGTCAAGAAGGAGTTTGGCTCCTAGGTAACAGAACAAGTAAATAACATTTTGATGAGTGACCGGAGTTTTACCTGGCCTGTGCTTGACACATATAGCTGATGTGTGATACCGTTTGTCCGTTATGAAAACACAACTGGACAATTAGTATTTGTTATTTGCATTCGGTTTGGCTTATAGATCCCCTTCACCTGGAGTTGCACACCACGATGAGTTACGTAAGGGTCCCGGGCGGGGACAAGTACGGTCCAGGTTCATGTACAAAGTAGCTACATGGTATGTTTACCTGTATACGGGAACTGTGTTATAATTTTACATGTCGATTAAGGTCGTTCAAATAACACCGAAAACACCATTATAAATTCAGTATAGACAGAAAATTTAAAGATAAGCTTATAGATGCAGCTAGTATATAGAAACATATTTCAAAAATCAAGTTTACATGTTTAAACACGAAACCTTTTATATTGTTAATGCATTCCTCAATTTATACCAACCACGATTGTTATCGCACAACGTTCGTCCATCGTGTGCACAAATGTGCGCAAGCAATGATCGTCCAATTTTTCATCGTTCGCACATCGTGCGCACATCGTTCACACACCGTGCGCCCTCCGCACATCGTGTAACGTTGTGCGATCCCACAACTGTAAAGGAAATTCATTTTGGAAAGGAAAAGGATATTTACAAATGAAATAGAAAAAAAACCTTACATGAGTCTTCATTAACCTGCATTATTCGAAACCGTTGGTTGTCAGCTTGACTGTCAGCATTCTACATTTATCACAATAATCGTGATATTGCTGGCATTATAAAATAAACAGCAACATGAAGAACACGTAAGTCGAGGATGAGATGTTACTATCAAGAAAGAGAGAGTTAAATAAAGGTGTAAATGAAATCGTCATGTTTATCATGCAACTTAGTACTACGCCGTTGTTGTTGTTGGCCATGCTGTTAGTAAATATGGAGGTAAGCGATTGATGAAGAATTTGTTATGATTTTAAGTTCAGGAGGGTATATACTATCGACGTGGTTAATACGGTTCCTGTTATATAAAGACAATACATCGTCGATATATTTAAAATTCTAGATTTTTTTCTACATGTCCTGGTATGCTCTCCGATATATTCAGCCTCATATCAACGACAACAAAGGTCTTCTTCACAGTTTTCCCCAAATAGTATGCCACCGGAAAAGTTAGCACCGCACTAGATGAAGATATTGCAGAATTCAATTATTCCACCAATTTGATCTCTATTTTATTTTCTCCTGGCCTCTGTTTTGATTTTCCCACCAAATATGCTCAAACATATATAACACAACTAACAAATGTATTGCCGTTCCACTTTCATATAAAAGAAATCTTCAATAAAAGAAGAAAGGCGCTCATGGAGTTTGGTATGAGGTATGCTATTGTATCGTGCGGAGTAGTAAAAAGTAATATGACTGATAAACCGATCAAGACGAGCGACAGCGCTCACACAAGGTGGTAAAATTTTGTAAGAGGTTGAACGATGTTAGTTTTGAAGTCGGTCGTTATATCGTTTAATATATATGGCTGGGTTTTTTTCTCTCTTAAACCCAAAGACACCTTGATTGGATAAATACTGTGGGCTACACCAGTGGCATATCGTTAAAAATAGATTTTGATGGAAGGACTTTTTTGTATATTTATGGACAGAATATGATACTTTCATTGGATATATTTTAAACCTTTGTCCTGAAATTTGTTTCATGACTTCGTTGCTGATAAAAATTTCAGACAATTTTTCGCCCGACTAAAATCATTCGCCATCAGTAATTTAGCTTTTATCAAATCTGATTTTGGTATCAGTACTGATTATACTGTGCGCAGGTAGTTGTTTTCCCTATTTGAAAACCGGAACCTGCTATAAAAACTGCATTTTTTGGGTGAGAAAACAAAGTATGAGAGCCTCCTATACATATATTCCAATTAAATATTACACTTTTGTTAGCCTCATGCAGTTATGATTGGTTGATATTTGCAAAAACTTATTTAAAGAAAAGAGTTTAAAAAATAAAAATAAATTCATATAGATAGTCTGTAATTCGAGAATTATGAATTATTATTTTTCTTATCTTTTTATTTGATAACAAATCTTTTGAAATAATGCATGCACCTGTCGAGGTTCAGTAGTAACAGAAAAAACTGTAGTGAATGCACAATATAGCATTATAGTCATATGTATTCGATTGTATAAAAATCAACAAACAAGTTCTGCAGTATCTTTATTGTAAGCAAATGTTGAAAACAACAAGACATATCGAACTACGTGATATTATCCTACAACCACAATCAGCAATATATATATACAAGCCATACAAAACAGTAAGATGCCAAAGGGATCTGAATAATTTTATGAGGGTTTTTTTCTTAGTAGAAAGTTTTACATTCTGCTGAATTGACATTAGATCATCTTTAATAAGACAATAAATACTAAGTTAACCAAACAAACAGACAGTATTGAATGTGAAAATACGTCGGATTCCATGTTTGTTTTTTAATTAGCCAAACAACAGCCAAAGTCTTTCCCAGCCATGAGAGGATCATTTGTTTCAAGCTTAATTAAAATCAGCATGGTTGCATTTTGGGGCTGACAATGTCACTGCCATTCAAAAGACAATGCAGCCATCTTTAATTCATAATTATCACCAAAACAAACAGTACTTGTTTATGATCGTTAGGTGATCATTGTCATCACGTTAAGTAAACATTGGCACGGGGAAACGGCAGAAGAACCTAACATATTCTAGTACCCATTTCGTCTTTTGTGGCCATCCCTAAGGGCATGCCATTATTTTTTCCCGTGGCGTTAAGAGGCTCCAAACCAAATTTACATGAAGTTATGATCCCTTTAGCCATTTTTGACTGGTCTTCTAAAGGAACACAGTGACGAAAAACTTCAGACATGGTGTAAATTAACTTGTCCTGCGGACCGGTTGAGATCAGAGCCGCAGATAAAAAAAAATCTTTTTGTTCCTGAAGGATGAGCATTCCCTACACCGCATGAAGCACTTGCCATTATGTTCCTCGTCAAACCCACAAAGACACACTTATCTAATCTATAAGAAAAGTATACAGTGAAGTAACAGAAATCAGATCTAGCTTACAACTGTAACATTGCTGCAATACAAATTATACAACCTCACATGGGCGAAAATATATAAACTAACGTCTGTATGTCTGTTTGTCTGTAACATTACTTTATGCTGATACTGGTGTAACTGTAAATATAAACTACGCCTTTATAAATGTCTGTCTGTGTGTAGAGGTGTGGGTTTGTCTATCTGTCTGTGTGCAACCTCAATATACACCAACCTCTATATGTCTGTCTGTCTATAACGTTAATATAAACTAACCTCGGTAGGTCAATTATATCATTATGGACTAACATATGTGTGTTTGTAAGATTAAACATATACATCCACCTCTGTATCTCTGCCTATGTGTAACATCAATATACACCCACCTCTGTATCTCTGCCTATGTGTAACATCAATACACATCCACCTCTGTATATATGCCTATGTGTAACATCAATAAACATCCTTCTCTGTATCTCTGACTATGTGTAACATCAATATACACCCACCTCTGTATATCTGCCTATGTGAAACATCAATATACATCCACCTCTTAATCTCTGCCTAGGTGTTACATCAATATACATCCACCTCTGTATCTCTGCCTATGTGTAACATCAATATACACCCACCTCTGTATCTCTGTCTATGTGTAACATCAATCTTCATCCACCTCTGTATATCTATCTATGTGTAACATCAATATACATCCATCTCTGTATCTCTGCCTATGTGTAACATCAATAAACATCCTTCTCTGTATATATGCCTATGTGTAACATCAATAAACATCCACCTCTGTATATATGCCTATGTGTAACATCAATAAACATCCTTCTCTGTATATATGCCTATGTGTAACATCAATAAACATCCACCTCTGTATATATGCCTATGTGTAACATCAATAAACATCCTTCTCTGTATATATGCCTATGTGTAACATCAATATACCCCCACCTCTGTATATCTATCTATGTATAACATCAATATACAGCCACCTCTGTATATCTGCCTATGTGTAACATCAATATACATCCACCTCCCTATGTGTAACATCAATAAACATCCACCTCTGTATATATGCCTATGTGTAACATCAATAAACATCCACCTCTGTATATATGCCTATGTGTAACATCAATATACACCCACCTCTGGATCTCTGTCTATGTGTAACATCAATATACATCCACCTCTGTATATCTATCTATGTGTAACATCAATATACATCCATCTCTGTATCTCTGCCTATGTGTAACATCAATAAACATCCTTCTCTGTATCTCTGACTATGTGTAACATCAATATACACCCACCTCTGGATCTCTGTCTATGTGTAACATCAATATACATCCACCTCTGTATATATGCCTATGTGTAACATCAATATACCCCCACCTCTGTATATCTATCTATGTATAACATCAATATACATCCATCTCTGTATCTCTGCCTATGTGTAACATCAATAAACATCCTTCTCTGTATATATGCCTATGTGTAACATCAATAAACATCCTTCTCTGTATATATGCCTATGTGTAACATCAATATACACCCACCTCTGTCTATCTATCTATGTGTAACATCAATATACATCCATCTCTGTATCTCTGCCTATGTGTAACATCAATAAACATCCTTCTCTGTATATATGCCTATGTGTAACATCAATATACACCCACCTCTGTATATCTGTCTATGTGTAACATCAATATACACCCACCTCTGTATATCTATCTATGTATAACATCAATATACATCCACCTCTGTATATCTGTCTATGTGTAACATCAATATACATCCACCTCTGTATCTCTGTCTATGTGTAACATCAATATACATCCACCTCTGTATCTCTGTCTATGTGTAACATCAATATACATCCACCTCTGTATCTCTG